TCCTCCATGGAGAACTAGTTGTTAAACATTTATCAGCACACCATGGGATATATTAGCATGTCTGGTGCCTTTTCACTTTGTCTCAAAGACTTGAGTGAAAACTGTCAACAGGAAGGTCTCTTCTTTTCAAGACCATTCCTAACCTCTTCCAGCCTTGTCTCTACATTGTTCTTTTCCTTCTATTTCTGTGTTTTTATTACCTCCTTCTTTACCATCATGGGCCCTCGATGCTGGCTTTTTCTCCGTCTTCCATTCTGTTCCTAGAGTTGAATCTCATTTTGACCCCTGCCAATATACCCAATTCTGCTCTCCCTTTCCAGCCATGTACGTTAAAGCTTTAGAAATTGCCACAGTTGCAGAAAGAATAATATACAAAACAAGATGACATAGTTAATAGATCATATTTCCAGAGTTCCAGTCACTTTTTACCGTTTGACATTTTATCAAAGTAGTTACTATTTGGTGAAATCTTAGATGAAGTATTCATCAGAAAAGTGTAAATGTTCACTAACTATACTTTTAAGGTTAGTTCCGTTCTCCTGTGTAATATTTTCAACAGAACACCATTTTTTAAGATGAAAATTTTGTGGTGGTGAAATAGAATCTGTTTGCCTTTCACAGATTCGTAAAACTGACTCTTTTAAAGCCTCCTTGATGGTTAGGAGTGATTTTGGCTTCAAGAAACAAAAAACTGAGTGGAAAAGATGGCGGATGTCTAGTGCTGAGTCAGCAGCTCAATGATTCTCAGCCTTTCACTTATGGTCAAGTGAAGACCACTACAGATCTAGTCATGACTCCTGTGCTCACATGTTCACAGCACAGCGGAGGAGACAGGATGATAGCAGAGCCGTGTTTACATGTGTCGTGGCTTCACCTGAATATAGGGAGTCTGAGAAACTGCATAGTTTAGCTAGTAGTTAGTGATGTCACACTTACGATAAAGTAAAACAAGAGGGCAGGGGTTGGAGTTAGGTATTAGGTGAGTCTACTGTAGATCTACCTCTGTATAGTATGTAGTAGCATTTCCCTGTATACCTAAACCTAATTCATTGTGATGAATTTAAAAGGTGAAAATGTAATGTATGTGATATAGTTCCCTGAGAAGTACATGAAGCTTTTTTTGTTCAGTCTTTGTGAGGAAGTGATGGAAAACTTTTTTTTTTTTTTTTTTTTTTTGGCCAAAAGATACTTGAACTTGGAAACTAGGCTAGTTACTTTCACATAAACTCTTGAGGTGTAGGTAGTGTTATCCCTAACGTTACAAATTAGGAATCTAAGAGATGTTAAGCAGTTTGCTCTACATCACAGAACCTAGTGAATGGGTGAGCCAAGTTTAGAATCTGGACTTTTCTCTCAGGCAAGTTGCAGATGTTTATATATTGAAATTAATTAGAATGTTATAGAAAGAATGATATTTGAGAGTCAGGAAACTGAAGCAGATATACACAAAAGGTGGCATTATGTGTAATATCCATTTGATGGAGGAGCTAGAGCATTCTAGCGGTTCTGGTAGCCAAATACTGGGATAATAATAGCATTTTACTTATGCATTAACCCATTTATGCCTAGTGTTTCATTATTGGAATGCTAAGCCTGTGGGAGTTATTTCTATCCTACTGCTCAAGGTCATTGCCAAGGTCTGATTTTTCACAAAAAAATTTTGCAACCTCCACCATAAATGGGTTAAAGCTTTAGAAATTGCCACAGCTGCAGGAAGAATAATATATGAAACAGGCTGCCGTGGTTAATAGATCATGTTGTCACTAGACCGTTAGTTAACAAACCAATGCATTTTACTCTATGCATTTTATTTATACTAATCCACTTAATTCTCATCACAACCCTTATGAGATAGGCATTGTTATTACCATGTTTATACAAAGAGACTAAAACACAAGGAGGCTAAGTTACAGACCTAATCTAGTAAGTGGCAGACTTAAGATTGAACCCAGATACTTTTTTTTTGTAGTCATGTGTTAGCCTCTTTAATATAAAACATGATGAAAACTCAATTACAAGAGTTCAAAAGGGCATAGAAAAACCAATGAATGTCCACTTTATTACAAGTTTTAAAATCTGAGACTCATTAAAAACAAAAAAACAAAAAAAAAACTTATATGTTAATTTCAGCTGAGGGTTAATTTTTTTCACAAACTAAAAATTACTGTATGGGAAGATCAGTGTAGCAAACAGTACAGTTTACAAACCCAAGCCACAAATTTATTGTTAGTAATCATGGTAAGAAACATAGCCAAAGACCAACTGATGCCTCAGTTAAGTTTGAAAGAAGCTCTGCCTTCTGTGAAGGCAGAGAAGAAATATGCAGGTGATTCTCCTTCAAGAAATTTGCATAGAGGCCAGATGTGGTGGCTCTTGCCTGTAATCCCAGCACTTTGGGAGGCTGAGGCGATTGGATCACCTGAGGTTGGGAGTTCACGACCAGCCTGACTAACATAGAGAAACCCTGTCTCTACTAAAAATAGCCAGGCATGGTGGTGCATACCTATAATCCCAGCTATTTGGGAGGCTGAGGCAGGAGAATCGCTTGAACCTGGGAGGCAGAGGTTACAATGAGCCGAGGTTGTGCCGTTGCACTCCAGCCTGGGCAACAAGAACAAAACTCCATCGCAAAAAAAGAAAAGAATTTCATGGAAATAGAAAATGTTAGAGCCTTTACCACAAGTGAAATTGCAAAGCCTGAACGTATTCAACTCAATCCAGAGAGCACCAGACATTAAATTGGGACCAAGGTAGAATTGAACATTTAATTTCCAGCTCTGCGGCTTGGAGAGCACTGTCATTTCAGACGCGAAAGCCAGCTGCAGATGAGCTCTTCTAGAAACACGAACTTTATACTCCATAAATTCTGAAGCAAGGCAGATATTTCTACATTCTTGTTTGAATTTCAGAAGGGTACCTCCAGGCATCAGGGTCTCTTTCAGAGTCACTCTTGAAATAGTTACATCTTCCCAGCCTTGGGAACCACCTTTTTGCAGTTAGCCTTTGCATGCACTGAAGCACACCACTTTGTGGAATGACTTTTAACATTAAATCCATCACGGCTTAAGTTCATGAAGCAGCTATTTCCAGGGCACCTCCCATCTCCTTGGCATGAGCAGTTTCCCAGTTACTGCTTCATCCCCCCAACCCCTCTTCCTGAGAGTCTCCAGAGCTCATAGCATCAAGGTCTCCATTGCTGGGACTCAAACCAGAGACTACATCTGGAAGCTCTACTTCTCCAGCTCTCTCTGCTGGAGACCAAAGTGACAGTTTGTTGCAAAGACTTGTAAAAACAGAGATTATTTACAAATGCATTTTTGTATACATTTGTTTAATTTAGAACCTGGGGCTTTTATAATCACTTTCCAAATCCTTTTATGAAGGGTGGAACACTTACATGAGGCTACGTTGGTAACCATGCCCCATATCCCTTCTCATAACTGACTTGTGTAAGAAAAACAATGAAGATTTTTTTAAGTTGACTCCTACCTGGTTCTAATCAGTCTTGGAGGAATTTCTACTTGTTTAATAAAATAGGGAATTGAGTAGAATATATTAAAGAATTTCACCAATAAAACAAATACCTAAAGCATCATTTTGGAAGGCAGTGCATAGGAATCCCAAAATCACATCTTGTGAACAAAACTGATAATCTGATAATGATACCTCATCTCTACAAAAAATAAACAAAATTAGCCAGGTGAGCTGGTGCATGCCCGGAGTCCCAGCTACTCAGGAGGCTGAGGTGCAAGAATTGCTTGAGCCTGGGAGATTGAGGCTGCAGTGAGCCTAGGTTGTGTCACTACTTCAGCCTGGGTGACAGAATGAGACCCTGTCTCAAAAACAAACAAATAAAAGAAACTGATAATCTGTTAATAACCCTTTTCAGCTCATGATAATCGGTTTATTATCTTCATAATTTTAAGAACTACCATAGAATATGGATCTAGAAATTGAAATAAGAATGTAGCAAATGAGTATGTGAAAATAATTTCACACAGATGGAAATTATACAGCTCGGAACTTGATGATGAATCATACTCTTGGAAAACTATTCCATTCTTCCCCAGAGTCTGTCAACAGAGGGATATACAAAGTGATGTAGTTTTCATATTTCAGCTTTAACATCTGCTGCATGGCAGCCCATTTATATTTTTATCTAAGGAAACATCTATAAATATTGATAAAGATTTCCTTTTTGCTTTTGTTTCCAGGCTGTTTATCTTGGTATTTATCCTTTTGGCTATACAGTATCTCTGGATGATCTGGAACTCAGCATTTTCCTAATACGGCTTGTTAGAATTCCAAAAACAATGCCTGCAGTTCCACTACTAGGTCACTGTGGTGTGTTCCTCAAAGCCAGAGTCTGTTGACACTGCTGAGATTGGCTGTTTTCTTCTTTCTTGCTTTCCCTCTTATCCATGCACTACTAGTTTTTAAAAGCATTGAATACCAAGATTTTAAATGAGATATTATTTTACACATTTATTTCAGTCATGTCTTCTTTTTTTTTTTTTTTTAATGAAACCTGGGGGAGAGTGAACAGAAAGTTCACAAAAAGTTTGAGTTGTGGCTTAGTGTTGATTTAAAACCCCATAGAGAAGACAATAAACATAAGTTGGCAACAGATATCAACATAACTGGATTGAGATTTCAGTAAAGCGCATTATTAAATTATGAAATTTTACCTACTTGCATGCGTAGCTCATTGTCAGACTAAATATTTTAATTCATGTAAGAAAAGATTGGGAAATTAAAAACTAAAAGGAAAAAAGCAGACTTAGATATTTGGACAAATAAAACAGATAACTCTATGTACTCATAGCAACAGATTGTTTTATTATTTGTTTGTGTAATAGGCATCATCTGTTATTTAGAGTCTTGAAATAATAGAATCATTTGGGAGGGACTGTAGAATACATTACTGGAATTCAGTTGGCAGTGTTCACATATTGGTCTGTTTGCTGGTTTAGAATCCTTTCTTTGTTGCTTTTCATCAGGTGGGACTCTTTCCTGGACACTGTGTTGAGTTAATTAACCAAAAAGTTCCCCAGTCAGTGACCAACTCAGTGCCAAAACCAGGTGAGTACATTTTTTTCACTAGTGTAGTTATTTTATAAACTGCTTGAAGACACAGATTTTCTGTCAGTCAAGTATTTAGCTTGTTTTGCTATTTTTGCATTTATTGACATAATACTACATTCTTAATTTTATATGATTTTGATTTTTAAATGTATTCTTATTTCTCTGTTGATTATTTTGAAAAGGTTTACATGCATTCAAATTTTTAGGCAATTTTAAAGAGCTGTGTGCTCCATTAAGCTTTGTCATTATTGACTTTTATAGTTGCATAATAGCAGTGTAACTTATTAATGAATAAAATGATAAAAAATAGATTTAAATAACTAACATAGAAATTGTAGGATTAACTGGAAATTGATAAATGAAAAGTAAGTATATTTTAAAAGGGCATATGAACATCAAAACTATTTTAAACAGCATTTCTTATTACTTATATAGTATACTTACAGTGCTACATAAATATATAGAATATATTACAAATAAAGCATTATTGAAGGGGATAAAAATCAAGAACATGGGAATTTTGGTATTTATTGAGGTGATTTAGTTTTGGGAAGATTCAACAGAATGCCTCGTCTGGTACTTTTTGATGATGTCAATTAAAAAAAAAATACAAACAAAGTCTAAAACATTTTGAAGAGAAGAGGGAGTCATCCAACTTATTTTTCCTAGCTATATTACATTTCTTCTGTCCTTTCCCACCTCCCAGTAAAAGGAGAAGAAAAAATTTCTGGGCCTCAGAATTTATTTGAACTGTTTTCCTTATAGTAGTATTTTCTAGTTTTAGGACCTGTATGTAAGTTAAGGAAAAAAAAAAAAAAGTTATTCTTTACTCTTTTGGTATTTTCCCACTTATGCTCCCAAAGCTTACATCAAACAATCTTTGCTAATAGTATTTAAGTAAAGGGTAATAATACCTTTCAAAGCTTATTTCTTCATAGGAGACTAGGGAGTCATTGTTCCCATTTCTCTCATTGGAATTTGTTTATTTTAGACTGACTTTATTGCTCAGTAGAGGAAATGCTTCAAAACAATGTTTTCTGCAGTTCTGCTTGAGTCAGGATTCTCAGTTCTTTTCAAAGCAATTTTATCCGTCTTGGGTAAACTTTTTTTAAAAACTCCTAAGTGGGTACTTGTTCGGTAAATCTTCATTAGTAACTGTAGATTTCATTCTTTTTAAAAATATGGCATTGTTTTAAACTTAACTTTTTGAAAACTCAACTTTATTGAGATAAAATTCACATATCGTGCAATTTACCCTTTAAATTGTGTAACAGAGTTGTACAGCCATCACCACAGTTAATTTTAGAACACCTTCATCACTTCATAAAGAAATCCCTTATCCATTAATAGACACTGCTCCCTGCATACTACTCCCAGCCCTAAACGACCACTTGTCTACTTTCTGTCTTTATTGATTTCCCTATTTTGGACATTTTGTATAAATGGAATCATATAGAGTGTGGTCTTTCGTGATGGGCTTCTTTTACTTAGCATAGTGTTTTCAAGATACACCTGTGCAGTGGCGTGTATCAGTACTTCTGTTTTAATTCCTTCTTTTTTAATGGCTGGATAACATTTCATTATATGCATACACCACATTTTATTTGTTTATTCATTTGGAGTTATTTCCATTTTTGGCTACTTTGAATATTCGTGTACAATATTGTATGTGGATGTGTTTTGATTTCTCTTGGGTATATGTCCAGGTGTGGAATTGCTGGGTCATATGGTAACTATGTTTAACCTTTGAAGAACTGTCAACTGCACCATTGGTGTAGCTGTACCATTTTACAGTTCCACCAGCAGTGTATGAGACTTCCAGTTGTTCCATATCCTTGTAAACACTTGTTTTTATTTGGATTTTTTTGATTATTGCCTTCTTAGTTGTGAAGTAGTATCTCACTGTGGATTTGACTTGCATTTTGCTTTTGGCTAATAATGTTTAGCCATTTTATATGTCCTTATTGGCTATGTGTTCATCTTCTTTGGAGGGTATCTATTCATATCCTTTGCTTATTATTTTTTCTTTTACCTTTTTCTTTTTTTTTTTTTTTTTTTTTTCGAGACAGGGTCTTTCTCTGTCACCACAGGCTGCAGTGCAACGTTGTGATCGTAGCTCACTGCAGCCCTCAATTCCCGGCCTCAAATGATCCTTCTGATTCAGCCTCCCGAATGACTGACATTACAGGTGCACACCACTGTGCCCAGCTTATTTCTAAATTTTTTGTAGAGACAAGGTCTTGCTTTGTTGCCCAGATTGGTCTCAAACTCCTAGTTTCAAGTGATCCTCCCACCTCAACCTCCTGCTTTTGCCCAGTTTTTAATTGGGTTATTTGTGTTTTTGTTACTGAGTTGTAAATGTTGCTCATATATTCTAGATACAAATTATTTACCAGATAATAGTGATTTGCAAATATTTTCACCTGTTTTGTGGTTTGTCTTTCACTTTCTTTGATAGTATACATTGATGCATACTTTTGATGTTTCTTTTGTCATTTATGCTTTTGATTCCTTATTTAAGAAGGCTTTGGCTAATCCACAGTCATGATTTACTCCTGTGTTTTCTTCTGAGAGGTTTATAGTTTTAGATGTTACATATTAGTTTATGACCCATTTTTTAAAGTTAATTTCTGTGTATGATGATGAGGCAGGGGTCCAACTTCATGAGGTTATCCAATTGTTCTAGCACTGTTTGTTGAAAAGATTATTTCTTTCCTGTTGAATTATCTTGATACCCTTGGAAAAATAAATTGACCCTAGACACAATTGACCCTAGGTTTATTCCTGGACTTCTAGTTCTCTTCCAGTGATCTATATGCCATTTTTTGTTTGTTTGTTTTTTTGAGGCAGAGTCTCACTCTGTCACCCAGGTTGGAGTGCAGTGGTGCCATCTCAGCTCACTGCAACCTCTGCCTCCTGTGTTCAATCAATTCTCCTGCCTCGGTCTCCCGAGTAGCTGGGATTACAAGTGCGTGCCACCACACCCAGATAATTTTTATATTTTTGGTAGAGACAGGGTTTCATTATGTTGGCCAGGCTGATCTTGAACTCCTGACCTCGTGATCCGCCCACCTCAGCCTCTCAAAGTGCTGGGATTACAGGCGTGAACCACCATGCCCAGCCTCTATATGTCTTTTCTTATGCCAGTACTACCCTGTTTTGATTACTGTAAGTTTTACAGTGGGAAAGTATAAGTCTTCCTACTTTTTTCTTCTTTTTAAGGGTTGATTTGGTTTTTCTGAGCCCCTTGCAATTCCATATGGCTTTAGAATCAGCTTATCAGTTTCTACAGAGTAGGATGGGATTCTGATAGAGAATATATTGAACCTGTAGATCAACTTGGGATATTATTAACAATATTAAGTCTTCTAATCCCTGAACATAGGATGTTTTTCTATTTATTTAGATATTCTTTTGTATTTTTAATTTTTTTCTTTAGAGACAGTGTCTTGCTTTGTTGCCCAGGCTGGAGTGCCATGGTGTGATCATAGTTCACAGCTCCCCAAACTCCTGGGCTCAATGCATCTTTCCACCTCAGCCTCCTGAGTAGCTAGGACTACAGGCATGTGCCACTGTGCCAGGCTAGTTTTTGAGTTTTTTGTAGCAGTGTCTCACTATGTTGCGTAGGCTGGTCCTGAACTCCTGGCCTTAAGTGATCCTCCCACATGAGCCTCCAAAAGTGCTGGGATTATAGGCATGAGCCACTAGGCCCAGTCAGTTTAGACATTCTTTAATTTGTTTCAATATTTTGTAGTTTTCAGAGTATAAGTTTTATATATCTTTTGTTGAGTTTCTTTATAAATATGTTCAATTATTTTTAATGCTATTGTACTGGGAATTTTAACGTTTCTTTTTCTTATTGTTCATGGCAAGACCATAGGAATATAATTGTTGTATGTGGATGTTATATTTTGAAGCCTTGTTGAACGGTTTATTAGTTCTAATAGTTTCGTAGTGGATTCCTTGGGATTTTCTATATACAAGATTATGGCATCTGCAGTAGGAACTTTTTACTTCTTCCCTTCCAATCTGGATGTCTTTTTATTATTCTTGCCCAGTGGTCCTTGTGAGAACCTCCAATACAATATTAAATACAAATCTCAAGTGCAAGCATCCGTGTCTTGTTCCTGATCTTAGGGGAGTGCATCTAGTCTTTTACCATTAAGTAGGATATTAGCTGTGGAGGTTTCATAGATGTCCTTTATCAGGGTTGAGAAAGTTCCCTTCTGTTTCTCGTGTGTTAAGTGTTTATAAATAGGGTGTAGGAATTTTTCCGAAGGCTTTTATTCATCTATTGAGATTATCATGGTCATTTTATGGTCATTATTTTGAAGTTACTAAATTCAGCATCAAACATTTAATTTCCTGCACATTATTTTTATCCATCTTTCTGTGGTGTAAGCTTAACTTATATTGGTTGTTATGTCTCATCTTTGATAGTATTGACTCAGATGTACTATAAACTGAGTTTTTAAAACTTAGCCTAATATTGGCATTAACATAAACTGTATCAATCAAGTGCTTTCTCTTTCTCTTTTTTTCTGTTTTGAGATGGAGTTTCGCTCTTGTTGCCCAGGCTGGAGTGCAATGGCGTGATCTCAGCTCACTGCAACCTCCACCTCCCGGGTTCAAGCGATTCTTTTGCCTCAGCCTCCCCAGTAGCTGGGATGACAGGCATACGCCACCATACCGGCTACTTTTTTGTATTTTTAGTAGAAATGGGTTTTCTCCATGTTAGTGAGGCTGGTCTGAAACTCCTGGCCTCAGGTGATCCACCCTCCTCAGCCTCCCAAAGTGCTGGGATTACAGGCGTGAGCCACCACACCTGGCCCATTCTCGTGTTTTGAATGAAGAAGTGACACTTTAAGTAGGGATAACCTCCAGAAAGTTAGTATTGGGAAATCAGTTATTGATCAGTTACTGATAGCTCTGGAAAACAGGTTTGTATTTGTAGACCTGCATAGTATTGTTATTTCTAAATTAAGAATGACCAAGAA